GAGCAGAGGATTAATACTTCGGAAATATTGGTATTTATATGTCAAAAGAATCTGATAGTAATATACTATGATCCAATGAATGAAAATTGCAATAAATGTGATTAATGCAAAGATGTTTACAAATTCATAATGAATTGCCCAAAAAGGTAGCGAGAAGGTACCTTTGCTACAGCCCTTCAATTTCACCTCTTATATTTAAAGTGTAATACAATGGCAGAAAAAACTGGAAAAATGTGAAAAGATATAATGTGAATGATAAAAAAGATACCAAATTAAATAATAAATAACAAAATACAAATTTGCATATCAAAGATCACTTTGTACACAGCATTTTTGTATAAATATTAAATTATAGAAATAAAAATATTTAAATTTCAAATTTATTCAACTATTTACCTTTTTCTGAATTAAGAATAATTATGAACCAAGTAGCAATATTTAAAAGTAGCCTTATTCTCGTGTAATAAAGTATGTATTCCTTAATGTATTACTAACTTATAAAAATTTTAAAAAAAGAATATATATTGTTTTGAATAGATATTTGAAAAGACGTAGTAACTATTTATTGTTTATAAAAAAATGATTGCATAATAACTAATATTATGTGTCTATGTGTTATGTTACGTGTATCATGAAATTAAATGCATTACTAAATAGATATATCATGTAAAATGTAATAAAATTTGATATTACCTCCGAAGTGCATTAAAACATGTTTTAATAGGATCAATGAGAATTTGTGAAAATTATTAAAACATCTGCTCATATATTTATTGAAAGCTTATATAATATGATTACTAGGACCACTATAAATGGAATGATCAATCATAAATTTTGGAAAAGCCATGTCATATTAAATATTCGTTGAAATATTCGAATATAATGCAATATGAGAAAGCTAATTCTCTGCTATTTTCATTAAATTACTCTAAATGATTCTATATAGCTACTATAATATAAATGGTTTGTGGTTGCTTTTACAATTATTAAGAACTATCTATCTCGTAAATTGTTTATATTACTTTTAGAATATTATATTTGTGCTGAATATAATCTATTATTTCTATGACAAAACATGATATTAATAAAAATCATGTCTGTAACTTTCCGTAGGGTAAATTATAGTAATCGCAAAAAAATGAAACTATTTTTTTTTATATATTTTTAAGGTTTTTGAATATTTTGGCATACCTTATAAATAATAGATGTATGTGTGTGTGTGTATGTGTGCGGATACAAATTTTCTTCGACGATTTCGGGAACACCGATCAACCGATTTAAATAATTCAAAGAACATTCGATTCGTATTGATAAGGAGAAGGCAGGTCTAGCCGTTCCGAAGATACATGGCAAAAAGTGCCAAAAACGGTAACTCAGTTTTTAAGAGAACGGAGCGTCCGATTTTAATCATTCAAAACACATTTTACTTGTATTGGCAAGATGAAGAACTGATTAAATTTTGGGGAAGGCAGGTCCAGCGGTTATGAACTCTCAATAAAAATAAGTTAAAAAAAAATGTCATTTGGCGGTCAAAAAAGTTTATTCGACATATGTACATCAAATTATCAGATATTTTATAGAGATTTTAATAATGTGTATACAAATTTTTTTGGGTTCCGTACCAAGATTTTTAATTACGGGACGGAAAGTTCCAGCAATTTGCCTTAAACCATAATGCCATGCACCCCACTAGTTGTGATTTTTTTCAACTGTGGGACTATTAATTTAAGCACTGTATTCTAAATTTAATTAACGATATCATATTATAAATTACATATTTTAGTAAAATTGCCCAGAGTAGTATGCTCATTCGTGAACCATATTATTAAACAATAGCATAAATTGTTTTTGAACTTTGAACTTTGAATAAAACGTAACAAATATAATAGCGCTCCTATTAAATACAAAATCAACGGTTTATATTCTATCCATACAAAGATTTATTGAAATCGTTGATAATTTTTTTAACAATTACTTACCAAACTAGTGATACATGGCATCGTGCCTTAGGGCAAATCGCTGAAACTTTCCGTTACGAAAAATAACATTTTTAAAAATTTTTGAAAGCTTTGAGAAAAATGAGATTCATGAGAGTTTTTGAAAAAAAATATTTTTTATAGTATTTTTAAATTTTTTAATACTTTGAATTTTTCTGAAAATTTTGATCTTTTTTTAAAGCAATCGTACTGCGTGGCTGGTATAAAAAAGAAATATAGAAGCGCGTAAGCGCCGCATCGCAGCCTAACAGATAAACATTGGAGCGAAAATTTGATGTGCAATGATCATCAAATGACTGTCAAATGGCATTTTTTTACTTATTTCACCTGATCTCCGAAATCGCTAGACCAGCCTTACTAAAAATTTAAACTGTACTTCATTTTGTCAATACAAATTAAATGTTTTTGAATTATTCAAATCGGTTGATCCGTGTCGGCAAAATTTGTATCCGCACACACACAAACGCAGCACAGACACACATTAATTACCACATTAATCAAAGGTATGAAAAAGGTTCAGAAACCTCTGAAACGCATAGATATATACGACCCAGTCATTTTTGAAAAAACGTCGATGAAGCCTAATTTTAACAAACATCAAAAAGACGCTGCTCATTTTTTAAAACTTTGAAGATTTTTTAAAATTAAATGACTTGTCTCAGGGCCGCAACATTTTATTAAATTCTTTAAGACAATGATATCTGTCGAAAAAAGAATCGGCCAAAACTTTTTTTCAACAATAACTTACAAGAAAATATCCCGACTGATCTTTACCAAAAACTAATCAGTATCATTCCCAACCAATATCTTTGGAACAGATCTTGAATTTTAAAAATAAATTCAGAATCAGGGGCTTAAATTTAGACGATTTTTCTCTCTTTTCTGCTATTTACAAAATAAACGACGAGATATTATCGAGTTACAACGATTGGCTTTTAAATTTTTGTAACTGGTCCAGCCGTTTTTGAGAAAACGTCGACAAAAAGTCAAAAATTGGCTCAAATACACACACACGCATAGTTTTTCCAATTTTGATTTCAGTCGGTTGATAATGACCTGAAACGTCGATAAAACATAAAGTTAGCAAATCGGATTTTTGACAAAAACATAAACTTATTCTTCGGGAAGGTAAAAACTATACACAAGTATAAAGTTTTTATCAAATGATCAAAATATCCGAATACAATAGTTGTTTAGATTCGCATATACGTACACAATTTCTCGTCAAAGATTTACATATAGTCTTCTGTATTGCTTTATATAAATCTACATAATAAAACCGAGTAGATTCGTTTATTGGTCTCTGACGTCGGAATTATTATCATATTCGGAGAAAATAAATGTGCTATATACTGGTACATTCTAAGTAACATCACAATTTATTTCATGATAAGTACCTATAGAGAAATATAATGTTTTCGATTATATCGCTATTTTTATCGGCCCCGAGCAGTTTGTTCATTCTGTGCAACATTATTGTCAATGACAAAGATCTTTCAGTATTAACTGCTTCCGACTCAGTTTTATTGCATTTCAGTGGAGAACTCGTTCACTGAGATTTATATATAGATAAACTTATGAAAACTTTAACATTTATAGTTATTGTAAGAAATAGTTAGAATTATTTGATGTCCTGATTGTACATCAAATTATTTGAGGATACATCATAGAACTACAACAAATTATGAGGGAGTTACAGACAAAATGATATGGTTTTTGAAGTAAAACTTCTTTAGGCGCGACTAGGGTGTAAATCCGTACTAATGCAACGGAAGACCGTTACGACAGAACTGTACGTCATTCGCTTTCGATTAAATAATTACAATTCGGGTCGAATGTGATATGTCGTCGTGTATGTGAATAGAGATCTGTCGTTGTATGCATACCGGCATCAACGTTGTATGCGTTCCGATATCAACAAGGAAATTGGCATAGATAAATAAACATTTTAAAGTGACATCGTAGTACAAATCTTCATTTAATGAAAAATGCCTAAATCAGAAGAATATTTTACCCTGTTCTTTAAAATATTGATTAATAAGATTAATGATTAGTAAGTTTATTGATTAGAAATTATTTCTATATCATTCGTAGTTTCTATAAATGTGGGGTAATTTGAGACGGCCAAGGAGTAAACAGATACAATGTTTTATTTTAATTTTAATGGAATTTTACAAAATAATAGCCACATTATTCAACCAACGCATACATTTCATGAATATTTTTTTCACTTTAAATGACCTTGATCTGGTATTTTGTAAGCAATATTCATCAGCATGATAGAAAAAAATGCTTCATTCAACTTGATTTACTTTTTTATTCACAATTTTTTTGTTTTTTACACCTTTGCCAAGGTAAAGGTTCAGTTGGCCATTTTTACCTCACCTAGATCTAAACTTTTATATAGGTTATATGAATAAAACTGTTGAATCTAAATTAAAATTGAAAATACATTTTATAAAGCAATTAAATAACGTATACTTAAACATTATATCAAGATCTCGCAAACTAAACAACAGTGCTCACAACCAAAAAAAATACTTTTGTTATGGATTTTCAAACATCGCCGATCATCTCCCGATAGTAACGTCGTAAGAATCAAGGTTATGGCTCTTTATATATACTTTGCCCTCTACTTACAAATATTGTTATTAAAACATTCTTAACTTTACTTGCTTTTGAGATATCGGTGATAAACCATTTCACCCGCGTATCTTTAAGCCCCGTTCTACCCTATAATCAAATACTAAAATTTTATTAACAAAAATCTAGAATTCAACATGTTCTGTGATAATAAATTATTTCTTGAACTATTAGTATTCCCGCACTAACGTGCTAACGCTTTAAGTATTCAAACTGAAACACAATTTGCCGTTCGTTCGAAATGTAATTTATTTTTTCCAGTTTCCGAATCGAATTATCTCCGTAGCTTGTAAAAATTTCATATGAATTTTCACCTCTCTTTCTACTTTACAATTTTAACTATATTTTTTTCATTTTCAGGTGCAGACAAAGAAGCTATTGTACTTTAAAATGGGAATGTATTAAATTTACGGACAATCGACTATGTGAGAATATTCGCCTAGAATCTATCCAGGATAAAGAATAGATTTTAATTTAATAGAAGTTTCGCTTTGTGTGGGGATCTGAAAGATAGACTCATGAATGGAGGCGAAGGAGATTTATACCGAGGTAATTTCCTATCTTAGGTATATATATATATATATATATATATATATATATATATATATATATATGATAAATATTTTTGCTATGGATATTGTCAATTTATTTCTCAAACGCCGGACATTTGCCTGAGCTACTCCTATGTTACATACGAATCATATATTTTCTTCACAATTGACTGTAAAGATTTGTAAAAGTTTTAGATATTTAATGAACTAGCCAGGCACTGTGCCTTAAGGCAAATTGCTGGAACTTTTCCGAAAATTTAAAAGTTTTCAGAGCTCTATTCCCTATTGAATATTGCAAAACAATTAGATTTTTTTAAAAAAATGGATTTTTTTTCAATAATGGTAGAGTGGAGCACAAAGGGCCAATTTGACTTTGAGCAATTATATTGTAAAATCCAAACCAATTAGATTGCAACAAATATTTCTTCAGAAATTACCATCTTCAGAGTTGAAACAACTATTCTGTTCGGACGTATTTTAATATTATTATATTGGCCATGTGGCAGCAATCTTCATGGCATTGAAAGTTTTCACCTTAAAGTTGCTACCTTTGTAGAGGGGTGTAGCGAAGAGTTTAATGGAACTAATTAGAATATTAGAACTGCAGCGAATACATACAAATACAAAACAAATCCGTGTTTAACAGTGTAGCTGAAAAGGTTAAATTATAACCCAACAACCTGCGTTATCGAAGGAGAGTTTTAATAAATTCCTTAACTACGTGACGCAAATACATATTCATTTAACTTATCTCTTGTGAAACTGTTTTTTTTTTTGAGCTTAACTTGCTTTTTTATTGACTAATTTTATATAGATAAAAATATAGCAAAATATGTACTCATTATTGAAATCTCTGATGATTTAATTTTTAACCTCCTAATGGCTTATTTTTAAACTTTTTCATTGGCTTTTCGAATCCCTAGAACCAACTTTGCCAAAAATTTAATCAATTCTTCATTCCATTTATCCATTGACAATAAACATCTAATTTACAAGGCAGTAATAAAACCCATATGGACTTATGGCATTGAATTGTGGGGCTGTGCAAGCAAATCCAACATAGCGTTAATGCAACGTGCCCAATCGAAAATATTGAGGCAGATTACTGATGCTCCGTGGTTTGTTAGTAATAAAACTTTACACGGCGATCTTCATATTGATTTTATAAACAGAATAATACAAATCAACAGTATAAAACACTTTCAAAAACTACAACATCATTCAAACCAAATAGTCACTCAGCTTCTTGAGACATCAACTTCAAGAAGACTGAAGAAGACTGCCCGAAGATAATATGGAGGAACCTTAGTACTACCACAACCTTATACGAACAGAATAGTTGAATCTTTTATTGAAGTGATTCTCTAAATATGATTGTAATATTGATCCGATAAATTTATATGTGTGTTTGAAAGTGTGTGTGTATGTGTGTGAGTGAATGACATAAGCCAAATAGCTCATAGAATAGTCATGTATTCTGATTGCTATTGAAAATAAAAATTAAAAAAAAAAAAAAAATCTTCATTCCGTCAAAAGTGCCAAATTTCAAAATATAAAAAAATTTAAATTTTCAAGTGTCATTTTTTTTCAAAAAATTCAAAATTCTGAACAATATCATTTATGCAGTTTTCAAGAAATTTTAAGCATTTAAAAAAAAATTGGTATGGGAAGTCTCAGCTTTAAAGCCCGATGACATGCACTTGTTTGGAGTTACGTTTCCAAAGTTTGTGATAAAAAATTCTACATTTGTATCTTTTGATAAATCATAAATGTGATCATTCAATAAGCTTACAAAAAAATCGCAATACTCCTAAAGAAATAAAATATATATTATGCATTCTATACATACTATATCGAAAAGAACAAAAGGAAAAAGTTAAATACCTTTTGTAAAATTTTAACAAATAACTTTCGATATTTTGATATTTTCACTATGGAAAGCTAAAACGATAGAGATAGATTAACAAGTCTTCTCTCAAAACTAATTCCATTCGATTGTTATTTAACGATTGAAGTAAAACTTCTGTTATTATGCGAGATGGATTTTAAGTTAAAAATAAACACATCATAAAACAATTTTGAGTAATGTTTATTATTAATATTGTAACACTCGTGATGCATACATTTATTAGTTTCAACCATTATGCATATTTATATGAAAATAAATTATAAATTATATATTCATAAAAGCATTAAAAGTATTTATAACTACTTCAAATGTGACATGATTGGTGTGTCATTGCAATTGGCATTTAGAACTTAAACCTTCATTAGAGAAATGAAGTAATTGCTGATTGCTTTCAGTGACACATGATACGACGACCAATCACAATCGACCCGTTAGAAATGATATCATCGAGAGCGAATGACGAATCATTGGCACTCGACTTGGCCGTAACGCACTTCTGTTGCATTTGTACGGATTTACACCCTAGTCGCGCCTAAAGAAGTTTTACTTCAAAAAATCGCATTTCGGATATTTCTGGTAAATAAAAATAATAACAGTACATTACAAAAAACAGTTGGAAATCTAAGTCAATAGATTCTCAATTATAGTTACAGACCTTAAATTAAACTGTAATATGATCGTCAATATCTAAAAATAGAAAGGAATTATCAACTTTTCAACCGCCTACTTGCGCCGACTATGTAACTTCTATTAGGGCTTATCGGATTTCGCCCACTATTAGGGATGCAAATACACTATGTAGGCGCAAATATTGAACATGCATCTGATATTGAAGGCATTCCACTCAATGAATAGTTTTTCATGGTTTAAAACCATAATTTCTATATTTATTTAAAATATCTTTTGTCTAAAACATATGAGAACTCTTACAACTCATTACATTTGCATTATTTCGTCCGTTCGTTTTTCTATTGCAAATCTATATCCAAGTGTAGGATTGTTCTGAAAGTATGGTCGTTATCTCTTTAAAGTATAAAACAATATTTATAATATAAATAATGTTTGATACTTTAAAAAGATAACTTTCATATGATGAACAAATATTTCACGATAATATATATAGTACTTTTTGCTATTTTACTGGAATTTTACCACACTTATATCTTTTACCAGAAAAACTTATATAAATATTTTGTGGCTCACGGCTTGATGTAAAAAAAATTTAACGCAATTTTAACAGTGATTGGAATAAATAATATTGTTACGAGGGTGGGTGGAAAAGTTTTCGACCTTACATTGATACAATATTTTTTTTTTCTTTTTTTTTATTTATTTTTTAATATAGTCTCCTTGTAAATCTTAACACTTTTTCCAGCGATGAACCCATCTCTGTAACCCATCTTAATAGTACTTGGTAATTTTCTGTGAAAAAATTGCATACTGTGTTTATTCCTTCCTCGTTTGACGAAAATCCTAATCCTTTGAGTGCTGTTTTTAGGTGAGGAAATAAAAAGAAGTTGCTTGGATTCAGGTTGGTTCAAACCGTAACTGGTAGGTTTTTCCATAGCAAAGACAACGGCGCTTTGTCTTGTTGGAACATGATTCCCTTTCTTGCAAATGTGGCTCCTTTTTCGCAATTGGTGCCTTGATCTCGTCAAGTAATAATCTATTAAAATAACTCTACGACTATCCCATGAAACAGTTTCCATCACTTTCCCAGCCAAAAACAAAGTTTTTGTTCTTTTTGGATCAGTTTTCCCTCCTGCATTCCATTAGTTTGACAGTAGTTTTGTTTCGAACGTATAATGATGCATCCAAGTTTCATCTGCATTACTTAATCAGCGCTAAGATTCAGATTTATTACGCCTAAAGTTCGTTGGCAATGGTGATACGAAAATATTTTTGATGCGGCCGTTTAATATCAGTTCGTGAACTTTAGCAATGTTCCCGTCAGAAGTCGAAATTTTTGGTCGTCCCGAACTATGTATATCCACGTTTAAACTCATCGTCAGATCCTAAAAATTACAGTGATAAATGATAGTGTAGATGCCCCCATGCCCAGAGTCCAATTCATTTTTAATTTGCGTAAGCGGATTGCCTTCCAAAAACAAATGTTTAATAACAGCTCGAATACTAAATTTTTTCCATTTTCCCAAAAAAACTTGCATGTGCTTCCTTAAACGGCCGTTTAATTGACAGCCAATTTAATTGTCCATGTAAGTCCATATACAGAAAAGATTAAATATGCAGAAAATATTGCATTATCTTACGATTATTGACTTACCAATCTTTCTCTTTTTTAGTTAATCAATTGTACTTTATAACTTAATTAACTGAGATTTAGCAACTTTTTAAAATTTTATGAAAAAAATTTGCCCATTTTGGCTCATTATTCCAAAAATCGATGCATTTTTATAATTAAACAACTTAAAGCAGGTCTGTAATAGTCGTGGGCGTAGCTCAGGCAGTAGCATGCCCGACTCACACGCTAGGTATATACTAGGTTCGAGTCCTAGCATTGACAAAAAAATTGTGTTGGTAAGATTAAATTAAAAGATAGTATTGAATGTTAAAAAAGTAATATTGTAGGTGGCTAATGCTTTAAGCAAGCAAGGCCAATAATAATAAATAAATAAGCCTGCGATATTTTACCATGCGTTCAAGACCATAAACTTCATCATCATATGAAATTTCGTAAGAATCGCCAAATAAAATTCAATAACTGATTACGAAGAAACTCTCCGACTAATCTTTACCAAAAACTAATAAGCACGATTCGCAACTGCTATCTTGTCCACCAAATTTTCTAAATTGGTTAAGGATTTCTGGCTGAAACGTGATCGGAACATTTGGCTATTATAAAGAAACACATACACATACTTATTCCAAACACAATACAATCACAGACGTTATATTTCGCCAGAAAGATATCAATTGAAAGACGCACTGATCATTATTTACTAGTAAAAAACAAAATCTTTCGAAATTAACAGTTGAAAAATTGATCAAAGTGAAAAGTAGTTAAATATCAATCCTTTTTTATTCAGGCGATTATTTAGATATATTTGAAATTTTATGTTACTTGTCATTAGGCAAAATGCTACTTACGCCTAGTTTATGTATTTTTAATTCACAAGTCTATGTATTGTATATCAAAGCTCATACATTTATCTAGAATAATCAATTTTTGTAAGAAAACTTCATTTAAAATGATGGTTTGATAATTACCAGTGTAAATTTAAATTTTAATTCGTTTTTAATTTAAATTGTGGATTGATTTTTAATATTAAGTTTCAAATACATTTTAATAAAATTTTTCTTTTTTCCAGATTCAGTCTCGGATGAAGGAATATGAACATACTGCAAAGGATTAAAATACTTTTCGATTTAACACGAACTGAAAAACTGCTGTAAAACCATTATATTACAAGCAAAAACTGGTGGGATAAGTAAATTTTTAATTTAAAAGAAATTTAGTTGGCCTAAGATGATGGATTTTACTCAAAATTTATACATGGAATTAAATTATACAAAAATAATGCAAAGTAATAGTCTCTAAAGATTTGTGAAATATATAGATATATGGTTCTATAGATCATTTTGCGAAATGGAGGCCACAAACACATCAGATCTAGAAGTTCCAGGCATTATCGAAGGGCGTGCGGTCCAGGCAATATTCACATCTTTGTACACAGCTATTTTGGTTTTAGGACTATTTGGAAATGTGCTGGTTTGTTTTGTTGTTGTGCGAAATAATGCCATGCACACAGTCACCAATGTCTTCATAATGAATTTGGCCTTGTCCGATATCCTTCTCTGCGTCCTGGCAGTACCTTTTACTCCAATCTACACATTTCTGGGCAGATGGGAATTTGGCAGTGTGATGTGCCATGCAGTATCTTATGCTCAATGTTGCAGCGTTTATATATCAACTTTAACATTAACATCGATAGCTTTGGATCGATATTTTGTGATAATTTATCCTTTTTATCCAAGGATGCCTATGAGGACTTGTGTGGCAATTATTCTAAGTATATGGTTGTTTTCCGCAGCAGTAACTGTACCTTACGGATACTACATGGAATTATTAGTAAATAATGTTACCGGTATAGAACTATGTGAAGAACGTTGGCCTTCCGAGCAGTTCCGAACGATATTTGGTTCAGTCACTGCCTCTATGCAATTTTTAATACCTTTCATAGTAATAGCTTTTTGTTACATTAGAGTCAGCATCAGACTAAATCAGAGAACGAAAGCTAGACCAGGAACAGCTAATTCTAGGAAAGAAGAATTCAAACGAGAGAGAAAACGTCGAACCAATCGCATGCTTATTGCGATGGTTACCATTTTTGGGATTTCCTGGTTACCCCTGAACTTGATCAACATGACGAATGATTTTTTCATTGATACAGTTCAGTGGAAGTATTACCATCTTAGCTTTTTTATGGCACATTCTCTAGCCATGTCTTCAACGTGTTATAATCCATTCTTATATGCGTGGCTGAATGAGCATTTTAGAAAAGAATTCAAGTTGCTTCTTCCTTGCTTTGATCGGCAATCCAGAGAGGCTGCGAGGCAGGTTTGTGAACAAAGTAGTATGCTTAATTTTAGGAAAATTCAGAACGTTTTGTGAATTGATTCATTTATTAATTTATATAAATTAATTTAATAGATATAAATGCATCAACAAGAAATCCAAAAACAGAATGTTTTTAAAATAATATAGACTTTTGTGTGTGTCTGTATATGAACGTTTGTGCATTGAAATGTAATGCTTCCATTCGTTATCATAAAGCTTATATCAAACTATGATCAAATAATTTTAATAGCATGCATTTGATATATAATGAATATTCGTTGCCCTGTATGATTGATGTTTCTTGTATTTTTGTATTTGTATTTGTATTCTTGTATTTGTGAAATGAATTTTGAAACCAGATATGCGATACTCATCGATACTTAAATTAATTACAGCAATATATTTAAACTATTTGTAATGAGAATTAATCATTCCAATTATTGAAATTTATATGTTCAATTATATTTTCAATTGCAAAATTGTTTTACAATCACTCAAATTGATATTAAATATCTTACATATGTTTTGTATTCATAAAAAGATATGTTGTTCTTTGCAAAGCAGTGGTGGTTGGCATCGTGCCTTAAGGCAAATTGCTGGAACTTCCCGTACCAGAATTAAATATTCGAGCATAAAAATCATAACAAATAAAAATAATCAATAAATATTGATCAATGTTTAATAACAATTATTTTAAATATTATCAAAGAGATAATTATATTACTACATACGTTTTCGAATGAAGATATGTTTAAATTAAGTGATATGTCATGAATGAATTCATTTGAGGATATATTTCTTACGATTACATTATAACATACGTCCACGTTTTCGGGCGCATGGATCAACCGATTTGAATGGCTGAAACATCATTCGATTCCTATTGATAGGAAAATGTGCTGATTAGTTCTTGGCGAAGGCAGGTCCAGCCGTTACGAAGATACAGAGCAAAGAGTGCAGAAAATAGAAATCGAGTTTTTGAGAGAACGGAGAATCCGATTTGAATGATCTAAAAAATATTCAATTTGTAATGATTGGGAAAAGAGGTGGTTAGTTTTTGGCAAAGACAGGTCCAGCCATTTCGAAGATACAGAGCTAAATGTGTAAAAAATGGCAGTTCTTGAGAGAACTAAGCGTCCGATTTGAATGATTCAAAGAACTATCTGCTTGTTTTAACAAAATAATTACTTTTGGAAAAAAAAAATTCAATTTTTTTTGTTGTTATCATTTGTTAAACAAATAATTTCCACTTTGCAATTCTGCTTATACAATTCTTATAAATATTAGACAATGTTACATTATTTATAATAATATATTTGAAAATATTTAATATTTCTCGAACATTTCGTCACGGTACGGGAATTTCCAGCAATTTGCCTTAAGGCACGATGCCATACACCACAAGTTTCATTTTATAAATTGAAACACTATCCTCAAAATTAACTTTTTTGGACGCTTTAAATAATACTAACATGTCCATATATAGACCAAAATATGTTTCCAATTCAAAATTAATCCATCTTGGGCTCTGCGGTGTGAAATGGAAATAGGAAAAACTTGAATTGGAGTTTAACTCAGCTCCCAGACCTGCCTTAGGGCAGTACTACCCATTATTATTATTCACTAGTATGCCAATCGATCTCCCTAGTTAAATACTTTACTTAAAATATTATCTATTTAAGTGATCAGTAATCTATAACTATTAATCTAATATATTTCAACCTGAGATATTCAACACTTTTACTGCGTTTTCTAATAAAATATCCAGTGTAATGAACCTATCATTTGCACAAAAAAATATGCGGTTTATCATAGAAATTTAAATAAAGCGATTGCACAGTAATATAAAAAAGCAGAATGATTAAATATGTAAATTTTACTGCAGTTTTAATAATTCAACGCATCCGCCAATTCCATAAAAAATATGCTGGTATTTTATTGCTGATAATTTGTTTTTCAAATATTATATAGCCATGATAAAGAATTCGCAAAAGTATATTAAAATAGCTTACAGTATTTTAAAATGATACAAAGACAGAGTAAGTAATTACGTCTAAGCATTATAGGGTGCTTATATGACACAGTCTTGAAGATTATTTTAAATGAAGAAAATATCTTGTCCACTAAATATCACACTTATAAGAAACCAATATATACATACAGTTAGAAGTCAAGCTTGTTTTCTGATTCATATTTCAGAATTTCTGAAATATGAATCTAAATATTAAATTTATTAAATATTTCGAATAATAGCATATGTATACACAATGATATAATAAACAACATGTGTAAAGAGAAAAAAAAGCAATTTTGTAATTCTTTACGTATGAAAATCGTTAAAATTATAAATTTCCATGAATAAGCATTATAGTTAAAATTCTAATGCATAATGCATTAATTTTAATCAATGAAATTTTTAAAATAACGCAAATAATATTCAACCTTACAATCGTACTTATTTGAAATGAAGCACCAATAAAATCTAAGCAAAAACTAATTTCGTTCAGCATTGTTTCTATAGAAAAATTAATATCAATTTCATAAAATTAATATGCTAATTACAATTTGGAATCCGAAACTTACTATATTATTTATCTAAAATAAATAATATTGTAAATATTCAATATTGTTTAAAAAAGTTACTAATAAAATATTGTTTAAAAAGTTACTAAATTAAAAAGTTACTAGTAGTAAATAAGTATCAATTAAAGCAATTGAGAGCATTCCCATACCAAAATAAATGAATCAATTAATGTTTTGATAATTACTAAATACTTCAATAAATTCATGTGCAAAGTTAAATAAAAATACAAATTTAAAATTTCTTGATCTAGTCCTCAAGTTCTGGGTATATTTATAAAAAAAACATAATTGATTGATGTCAGAGTAAATACTCCATTAATATTTCATTTAATTATAAAATTATCTGATATGATTAAAATAAATGGGAAAATACAACAACGTAAATTAGAGAACAATTCAGGACATTTTAAAAATTTAATTATTTATAAATTTAATTTGGGGTAAAAAGTTAAATATAATTTTGATGGAAAAATAATTTATAAGGCATGTCAATTTGATTACTAAAACTTGAAAAAAATAGTCTGGTGGTTTAAATAGTCTGATTGATAATAATTATAAAAAATATTGAATCATCTAAATATGATATGAATTCATCAAAAGTTCATGTTTCAGTTTTTATGCCCATTCGCACATAAAATATAAAAAAGATTTTTAAATTCGGTTGTTCAAATTCTTATATTTACCACAACGTGGATCAAAAAAATGCACTGTGATAAAAAAGATGTTCCAATACGAATTACATAAAATTTTAACAATGTTAATTAAAAATTGTATATAATCTTCTAAAATTACGAAAATTCGAGACTTTTTAGTGTTCAAAACGCACTATAATTTTTAAGTTTTAATTCCAAAATATTTGTAGAGAACCAAATTTAAATGATCTAATTATTATTCTCTCTGCATATCAATCCGTTTCATGTACATGTTAAATTTTTTTCAAAAAGGTAGAATAAAAAAAGTTATGCACAAAATTTAATACATTATTTTACAATTGCATTCACATATTTCATACGAATAAAATTGTTATTCTGAATAACTTACTTGGTTTGTTTGTAATTTTTTTAAACTTGATGAATGCAAAATATTTTATTCCTCTATATGATAATAGAAATAGATAGTTCAATACATATCACAACTCATACTTTATAAAGAAATTTTTAGCAGTAATTTAAAAGTTAGGCTTTGAATGAAATTATTTTTCATCACTAAATGGAAGGATTTTACTTCAAATAGAAATAAAAATTTCAGAAACGATTCAAAAAAAAGTTTAGTTAGTTTTTATTATAACATTTTCAAAAAAAAAGTTTATCTAAAATATAACGTTTTAGGCAGCCATTTGAATAATTTTACATTATTCAAAATTCTTAACTGAAAGGATTGTACTTTCAAAGAAAGGCATTTTAAGAAAATGTTCAGTAGTTTTTTTATAGTAAAAGAAGTTAATTTGCGGATTCTATATCAGGTAATACTGATATTCATTTTTACTTGAAATCATGAATGAATGAATGTTTTTAATCAAATTATAAATAAAAAATATTAAAAATATAAAAATCAAAATAAAAATTGTCTGAATTAGGTTGAAATAATCCTTTGCTTATTTCATTAAGGCGAATCTATATATGTAATGTACGTTATGAAATAGTATATGCTTCCATTATCAATGCTCATTAGCTTTGAAAACTAGAGTATAAAATTTCACATACCCATAATGTTCCTTCATCTGTTCGATACTGCATAAATCCGGATTTAAATTTCGAATTCTGATTTGTTCGAATCTTTTTTTGCCCATCAATCAAGATAGAATTCTGAAAAAGACGAATATATTCTGCATCAGATCACATTTTTTGCTCGTTATGGAAATCATACATGTTTTTGCTTTTAACGAAATTAATTATTTGTGCATCCACATACAATGCTTGTGCAACCATCATAATGGTTTCAATTTGATCGCAAATTCTTGTAAAAGACTTAGTTGCACATGTAAAAATAATTTTGCAAATGATATATTGTATGAATATAAATATTTAAACAATAAACTGAATTTAATAAAAATGAATTAAATACAACTTGCTCATATTATTTTTATAAAAATTTCGAACTTTGATAAATCTAAATTTCCAACAAAATAATTGCGATGATATAATTTTATTATTTGGATTCATAATTCACACTTATTGTAAATGTTTAAAAAAAACTGGGACTTTTTACGGATTTAACGCCACATATGTATTTTTTGTTAAATTTTGCATCAAATATCACAATGGTATCACAGTTTGAATTCCATGTACAAAAAACATCTCACAAAACTCCGAACAAAATAGTATCGCCCAACGAAAAATTTGCGTATTTTAGGATATTTGCTATTTTGCATGTTTCTGCAAATCATTGGTGATCGTAAATCAGTTAATCTCGTAATG